AGAAGTGAGGTCTTGGGGTGCATTGGAATTGCCACCAAGCTTGTTCACCAAACCACACACTTTCAACTAATTGGGGAAAACATTCTTGTGAACAAAATGCGACTACCAATTGCAATATTAAGCATTGACCATCAAATTTATGTATGAATCGTCTACCTAACCGACAAATAAACTAAGTGTAGCACAACCCATCAATTCTAAGCATGACCCATCAAACTAGTCACAATTGTAGCACACAACAATCTAGAGAATCATGGAATTTGCAATAATAAGCCATGGAAAATCAAATCAAGTAAAGATTGTCTACCTATCTACAAGCATGAATTAAATTGTAGAACAACCCATCAAGCATAAGTATAATCTATCAAATTAATTGACAAACCCATCTAATAAAAACCATGTCTAGCCATCACTAGATTCTCAATCAACCACACATAGACATGCAATTAATATGGAAAAACTAGTGTAGAGATCAATTCTCAAATAATCACACAAAAGACAACATGTAATCATATAGAGAATCAATAGAAAGAATTAATCCATATGAATCATTTGAGACATAATTCCTAATTTAATCACACATAGACATGTAAATAAACTAGAGAATTAATAGGAAAAATTAAACCATAGAAATCATAGAAATCATAGAAATATACCAAGATTCATTAAATTCACAAGGTTAGAACATTAATCACAAGATACTATTCCCCAAAACGTATGAAAAAGATGGAGTTTTAGATTACAAACTTGGGGCTCATCCAAGCCCCTAGGAGAAATCTAGCTAATCATGGAGGAGGTAGATATGATCTTGGAACCCTCAAGGGCAATCCCCAAACATGACTCCATCTTCTTTTTCTTTTTCTTTGTTGAATTCTAGAGAGAGTGTGTGTGTAAATCTTGAGATGTGTTCTTGGAGCCTCCACTCTTCTCTTTTCTTCTAATCCTAATCTCTAACTTTTCTAGAGAGAGAAAATATAAAATTACAATGTAAAAATAAAATGATAAAAAGCTCCTTTACAAAATGGTTCAATTCCTTTTAAATACAAGGTCATTTTCTTAGTTACTAAGTCAGAAATATAGCCCCAAAAAATATCTAATCCCACAACTTTTTGGTAGGTGAAGTTCGGGCACGCGGGAATAAGACAGCTCGCTGCCAGCACATTTTCGATCGATCTAACTTTTGATCGATCTGGGTTCGATCGATCCAACTTTCATTGATCAATTTAACTTTTGATCGATCTGGGATCGATCGAACCAACTTTTCTGCGATCGATCAAAGTTGGCAGTTTTTCAGCATTAGTCTCCTTTTGCTCCAAATTTTCACCAAGACTTAGTTTGACTCCAAAAAGGCCTTAAGAAACTATTTTTAGCTCGTTTTAAAATTATTGACCTGAAATAGACAAAAACACAAATAAGTACTAAAACGGGTAAATAAAGATAGATAAATGGACTAAAATACCCTCGCTTAGGGAGTTTAAATGCGCACTTTTCAGCACTCATCAGACCTTGTTGACACCTTGACCACCTCTACCACCATAGGCTTGATCTTCACTTAAGACTTGGATGAGCCCTAAGTCTTGTGTAATCTAAACCCATGTATTTCTATTTTTGGGGATATATATATATATATATATATATATATATATATATATTGTTGTGATTAGTGGTTAGCCTAGTGATTGTTGATTTAATTCTTCTTTGTGATTCTCTATTTTAATTACATGTTGTCTTATTTGTGATTATTTGGGAATTGATCTCTACATTAGATTCTCTATATTGGTTATATGTATATATGTGATTAATTAAAGATTTAGTGATGGCTAAGTATGGTTTTTATTGAATGGGTTTGTAAACTAATTTGATGGATTATGCTTACACTTGATGGGTTGTTCTACAATTTATTTCATGTTTGTAGGTAGGTAGACAATCTTTGCTTGGTTTGATACTTTACACTTATTATATTGGTGGATAATACCTTTATATTGGTGGGTTGTTCTGCACTTAGTTTACTTATTGGTTAGGTAGATAATTCACACTTGCATTAGATAGTTCATACTTTCACATGCAAATTGTGTTTATGTTTGTGGTCACATCTAGATTAAAACAATGTATTCCCCATTAATGGAAAGCAAGTGGTTAATTACATGAGCTTAGTGGTGATTCCAACACCCTAAAACATCTCTTCATATCTCTTAAATCCCTATCTCTCACTAGTTTACTTTAATTGTATTTTAATTTAATTATTTTATAGAGTAATCAACCAACCCAACCCTCATTTGCAATTTTTTGATACGCTAGAGTCGAAGTTAATTTCAATACGTATAATCTCTACGGACGATCCCTACTCACTATACTTCATTAGTTGTAGTAGTGGTTTATAAATGTAAATTTGACTTTTAAGGCTTCATAAGCGTAGCGACCTCTCACGTTACAAAGTTAATTTTCTATCATATAGAAAGGGACTCGTCACCCAGTATCCTAGCACGGGGCGCATCGCGACAAATCTTTACACCTCGAGTATTGCATTGCTCTCAATATAACTTGGGAGACGGCATCTGCACACAAAATAAACAAGAAAGACAAGAGATAATCACCTTATCTCAAACCTCGGTAGGTTGAAAAAAAAAAAAGGGATAAGAAAGCCATTAAAAATAATAGAGTAAGAAAAGTAGAGATGCATTAATAAATTAAATGAACCCTTAAAGAATTCAAACCCATACGTTCATGGACCATCACCAAAAAAAGGCCATTCCAGTGGTTGGAAAAGTTAAGACCCCACACAGTAATGAAAGCATAAAAGATAGTCCAGTGTAATTATATTTTAAAACAAAAAAGATGCCGTGTTAGATTTGGTGCATGAGGAGTATAAGTAAAAAATGATAATGAACGTATGATTAGTTTCTCTTTAATATATTGATTGCTCGTTTTTCTTTTTCTTTTTGTTTCCCTTTACGGAAGGGAGGATTCACCCATTGACATTCTTGAGACAGTCGCAATCCTTTAAAATATTAATTAAAAACACTTTTAAAAATGTATATGCTATTTTATTTATTTATTTCTTTCGAATGATAAAACAAACACGTATCTTTTTATTCACTTTTGGATTCAAACTCTTTTTAATTTTTTTGAGGGCAAAAAAATTATACCATTGTATTAAAAACCTTTTAATATAGTGCATATACTCTTGCAATCTTACATGTCCTAAATCATTAAATTAAAAAGTGTAACCATGTAAATCTAATAATTGAGAGCGTGAGTTTAACAATTGAGAGCGTGTACTCATCCTTTGAGCACCCATATCACAATATTGCTTAATGTGAAAATTTAAGTAGACATGCTAACTCCAGTAGATGTGAAGTGCAGAAGTTCCGAAGTGTATTAGAGAGAGAAAATGAAACACGGAGATCCATAAAAATTCCAATTAGGTGCAAACCCCAATTGAAAAAAAAAAAGAGTACTAAAATTGAAATGTTATAGCTAGTGTATCAACACTTAGTTATTTACAGCCAAAACAATCCAGGTAGATCTGTTAGTGAAATATATTCCTTTTTGAAAAAAGTAGCCTCCAATCGAAAGTTGTATTAATGCAAGTGCTCTCCACTGATAGGAAAATAAGAAATAATGTATAATAAAATCCACACTTGGATAACATTGCTGTTATTTGAATAGTAGATACTAGATTTGAAGAAAAGGCAGTGTCTAGCTCACACCATCGTGAAATTGGATACTAGATTTGAAGCATAACATCTAAGGCTGCATTCATGGAGGATCCAAAGAGTTAGACTATATATATATATATACAGCATTGTTTACCTATTATTCACTAAATATGTAAGAAATTTATGTACTAATTAATTGTTAATATAAAAAGATAAACTACTTTTTAAATTGTTCAATGAAATTTAACGATTAATACATAAAGTGTACATAAGTTTTTTTGCACATCAAGAACAAGTGAATATTTTCGTACACAGAGTTGTTCATTTGATCATTGGTGTAGAAGAAATTTATGTACGAATTAAATAAAAAATTAGATGTTATTTATTTATACCGAATCTGAACTGAATCTTGTCCATTCCAATCCTTGAAATCTCGTGGACTAAATTATTCACCAACTAATTCAACTTGGAATATGTACATGTGTATCCGGTTAGGGAAGTGCTGGATGAGTGGGTGAGTGGGTGTTGGATGTGAAATATATCTATTGTTTAAAACGAATTGGTCTTCACTTAATTCATAATTAACTTCACTTTCACTTAATTTACACTAAACTTCAGTCACATAGGCTTAAGTAGTTCCATTAATAAGAGAATAGCACATTCATCACGTTGGTTAATTAGTCTCCCATAAACAAACGAGTCCACCCCATTTTCAACCTTCTATTTTTCGATGTGGGTCCACATACCAATAAAATCACTTAGTGTAGTCCAGCCCAAAAGAGATAAGTTTCCTAGATTTATTTTATTTATTTATTTATTATTTTTTTTGCTCTCTAAGTTTCCTAGATTTGGTACTTGCAATTTGAACCAAAAACAAAAGCATGTATATCTTTAACCTTTTTTTTTTTTATTTTTTTTTAATATTTTATTTTTTTTATGTATATCTTTAAGCTAGCCTATCTCTATTCTATAGATATTATATTGGGATTCATCATATTATGTGGATCTACTAAGTAATAGATTCAAATCAATTAACCTTATTAAATTAAACCATACATGAAGCAGAGGTGGTTTAGAGCCATGAAAGTATACACATACTCGTGCGTGCAAAAATTAAACAAGTGCGTGTAGGTATATTACAGGATATACAACCATGGTGGTCCCACAAGAGTATCACTAGTAGGCTCAATGCTGTCTCATCAAAATTTGAACAGCACATAGCCAAACGTGCCAATATGAAAACAAGAAAAGAAAAATCAACCTTCTTTTAACTTTTCCCACTATATATATATATGTGTGCGCGCGCGCACAGCCGGAGTTATATCAACTAAAGGTGCGAACATGTCTGCCTTAACTTCTTCCTCTTCTACTCTGCTCTTTCAAGATTTTGTAGGAGACTTCTACTCAAGAAGATTGCTACTAAACATCCCTCCTTCCCCATCACCGGCTACCGCAACTCCTCCAGCCACCGGACCGAGCCACGACACCTCAGAATTTTACACCGGAGATACTGTAATCGTAATCTCTGTCCTCTGTTGTGCTGTAATATGCACAATGGGGATGTGTTCAGTCCTTAAATGTTCATTAAGGTGCACCGGTTCAGTACTCTCGGAAATCAGGAACAACCGGTTAGCCAACACAGGGATCAAGAAAAAGGTCCTCCATACTTTCCCAACAGTGACTTATTCAGATGGTTTGGATCAGCCTGGCTTGGGCACCGAGTGTGTCATATGCCTATCCGAGTTCAAAGAAGGGGAGTGTTTACGAGTTCTTCCCAAGTGCAACCATGGGTTTCACGTCTGCTGCATCGATGAGTGGCTCAGTTCACATTCCTCCTGCCCTATCTGCAGGGACTACCTCATTCAGACTTGTCAAAAGATCAGCGAGTGTACTCAGGCTACCTCATCACAACCACCAACCCAGCCGCTACAGGAAACAGTTGTAAGGATTACCCCACTAGAAGCTGAAGGTGTAATACATAATTACCGGAATGATCAAGATGTATATATAGGTATTGAAAAAATGAAGGTTCCAAGTGTGGTTTCACCATTTTGACAAGGAAAAAAATATGTGGTTTGACAAGTTGAATATATATATATATATATATATATATATATATATATGTCAAATTTATTCTTTATATATAATGATCAGTTATTTATGATCTTAGTTTTTTTTTTTATTATTTAAATGACACAATGCATGAAAGATGCAGGTCGAATATGGTAATTGTAAAGGGATTGTCATGGAACTCAAATTAACATTTTCGCTATTAATAGTTTACCATTAGGGTTGTGGCACCTCCTTTCTTAATGTTCAAGTCAAAGCAAAAAAAAAAAAAATTACCACTAGGTACAAAAAGTTGCTTCTTACCCCTCCCCTTCTCTCACTCATCCACCTTTTCCTCTTTTTATCTTAACCCTTGTAGGGTTTCTTTTTTATCAAAGCAATAAACAAGTAGACAGTAGTAATATCAAAGGTACAACTATGAAGGAAACAGAGAAGATGCTTGGTTAAGGAGAAGGAAAAGAAGACCAATCGTCAAGATTGAAATGGTGCTAGCAAGTATACAGTTTCTTGTGATAGCTCCCTTTTCTGGTTATCTATTCCTTCATGGGATAGTGCTATTTATAGGCTCGGATTCCATTGGTCATTAACCAATGGTCTCTTTCATACATGGTTTCTCACATGTATGGCTCCTAATTAGAATCACACGGGTAGTCCAGAGGGTCTAGGAGCCTGAGGAGTCCAATCCCCTCATCGAGCCTTGCATTATGTTGCTATGTTGCTTCTCCCCCAATTGGGGCATTAAATGTTGTTTGGGTGCCGATTGATCGAGCCTAACACAACATTAAATGTGATTTTAAGGTTTGCTGTCATAATGTGTATAATCACATCATCTTGTTAATTGGGTCTTGCTAAGAGCGAAGGCACTTCTTGACTTCTCATCCACCAATCCAAGATCCTCCTAAGTTTCCCAAATTTAGATCCCTTACAGCTGCGAAAGTCCTACCTTCATTTCGTGCCTTGTATGGACATATGGTGTTCTGATGGCGAGCTCTCTTGGGCTCCAATCTTTCGGTGTGTTATGAGCCTAATGTGGTACTAGGGCTTGGGGTGCTCAAGGGTTGGTCCTTCGAGGCTTGGTGGGCTTAGTGTAGTACCAGGGCTTGGGGTGCTCGAAGGTTGGTTCCTCGAGGCTTGGTGAGCCTAGTGTGATACCAAGGCTTGGGGTGCTTGAGCGTTGGTCCCTTGAGGCTTGGTGGGCCTGGTGTGATACCAAGGCTTGGTGTGCTCGAGGGTTGGTCCCTCGAGGCTTGGTAAGCCTGGTGTGACACTAGGGCTTGGGGTGCTTGAAGGTTGGTCCCTCGAGGTTTGGTGGGCCTGGTGTGATACCAGGGCTTAGGGTGCTAGAAGGTCGGTCCCTCGAGGCTTGGTGAGCCTGGTGTGATACCAGGGCTTGGGGTGCTCGAGGGTTGGTTTCTCGAGGCTTGGTGGGCCTAATGTGATACCAGGGCTTGGGGTGCTTGAGGGTGGTCCCTCAAGGCTTGGTGGACCTAGTGTGATACCAAGGCTTGGGGTGCTCGAGGGTTGATTCCTCGACGCTTTTGACTTTTCGATCAACTCGCCACTAGGCCTTGGTTATGGCTGTAATGACTTGTCAACATGCCACATCAGGATTTGATAAGTGACACATCAACATTTGATAAGTGACACCCACAACCCTTTTCCTTTACACTCGTGTTCTCCCCTTCCCCATGGGTTTATCTTTATTTTAGGCTTGGTATGCACGGCCTGCATTACTAGTCCAGTGAGAAACCATTTCATATTAATGTCTAGTTGATGTTGTTGCTTAAGAACTGACTCTAGAGGGGGGGGGGGGGGGGTGAATAGAGTCAATGACAAACAATGGATAATTTTTGCAATATAGAAAAACAATTTAAAGCAAAGTACTTAACACAATTGTGCAATTATAAAGATATAAAATAAGCAATTAAATAGCACAATTATAAAAGAGATAAGGGAAGAGAAATTGCAAACATTGACTCGGTGATTTTAGCGAGGTTCGGAAACTCCTACTCCTCGGCTTAAGACTCCTTTTGAGACTTCCCAATCCATTATGGCTTCTCCTTACGGGTGGAGAGCAAACCTTTAAATGAAGCAAGACTTTGCTTCTTTTCTTTGCTAAGAGAACAACATTCTCTTAGTCTTCCTTTGGGTCACACCAACCCGGTGGGTCAATCCAACCCTTACAATAGATAGTAGTAAGAACAATGAAGTACAACAGATCTCTCAAAGATAGTAGTACAATTTTCAACTCACAACTAGAGTATTGATGAATATAAATGAAGCTTAAACTCTATGAATGAAATAAATGAGAGGAGATGATATAAGTGAAGAATGTAAGCTCTTATAATCTCTCAAGTGTATAATAGAGCAAAAACTTTGTGAAGATTAAAGCAAGAGCACAAGCCCTCTGAGTGCTTAATTAAATCTCCCAAGATTTGAATATGAGTGAATGAGAGAGATAAAGAGAATATTTGAGAACAAAAGCTCTCTTTAATGCAATATGAAGCCTCTCAAATGATGTCTCTCTTTTATTTAGACTTTCCCCACTTTATTTTTAGAGTTTGCAAGCTCAATATAGCTGTTAGGAGTTAAATGCACAAAAGTCGAGGAGAAAAGAGCCGTTGCATTTTGAAATCTGCAGATTCGACAGGAACCAGTCGACGTATGGCATAAACCGGTCGACGTCTTTGCATGAACAGGTTGATGATGCTCCAAACCGGTTGACGTATGTTATGTTCCTGAAATTTCAGTACTACTTGGATACCGGTCGACGTATGCATCAAACCAGTAAACGTAAATGATATGTTCCTGAAATTTTAGTACTGCCTAGATACCGGTCGACATGAAGCTAGAATCGGTCGACGTAAAACCTAGTGCATTGATAGTTTTGACAGATGACAGCTTATGTATAGGACTTTCAGTACAGGATATCTACACACAACTTATTTCCATTGAAAATATTTAAGTAAATGTCTCCATTTACTTTAAGTTTACAATGCAAATAAGGGAGTACCCTCCATTTGGATTCAATGAAAAATACTAAAAAATTGAAATCCAACTAAATCAAAATGTAGAAATTCAGTTTTAGTACAAATTTGGATTTCCGACAGTTTTGGTAAAAATGAATCCTTATGTAGACCAATGTAGACTTGGTCAAAAATTCTGATACAATCAGTTTAGGCTAGTTGAAGTATAAAGAGTTATTACCGGGAAAAATTATTTTGAAATAATCATTATTTCAAAAATTCATTTTTCACACTTAGCCAAAAAACACAGTTTTTCATGACGCGTATTCTGGGGTCCTAATGTCCGTTACCAACTCATGGTAATAAAGGCTTCTCATGCCTTAATTGTTGACCAATATGAATTTTATGATTGATATGCATAGTCTTAACATTTCTAGCATAAGTGATGAGTTCTTTCAAAGCTTATGCAAGCTTGAACTAACTCACTTTTTAGCAAAGACTCCATATGTCAATTGTATATGAATGAAGTACATAGTCAATTACTAATGGATATAGGAGCATACGAATGATGATATGATATGCATGGTGCTATAGAGATAAGTTTCAAATGGATTCATAAATACTTTGACATTGAATCCTAAACACTTGCCACCCTATCTACCCCTTTCTTCACGCTTTGTCTATGATCGTGTAGGCTTTCAGGTGGACTCGCTTTCTTCCTTTCTTTGAATTGCTTTCTTGCTCGTTGTAGTCCAAGCTATCTTTGGATGGACTTTACATTTGGTTCCTTACAACTTCAAGTCTTCTTTGTATCCATTTCTTTCATTGATGTGATCTTGAATAATAGAATACTTGAAATGATCTTTATAGCTTCATTGAGGTCATTCTTTGAATGTGAATAATCTATATAACACTCATTGTAAATATTAGTCCTTAAATACCATTAATGGTTTGTTATCATCAAAACAACTAGATTGTCCTTTGATGAAATCCTTAAGGTCAACAATCTCCCCCTTTTTGATGATGACAAAACATTGATGTGTTCATAAGCAAATGGAGTAGCATTTGAAAAATGCTCCCCCTATCAAAGTGCATTCAATAAACATAATGTTATAAAACTACATGCTTGATATATCATAAATCATTTTAGACGTAAAGATGCATTTAAGATCATTTAACACATCACATATCTCTCCCCTTTTGGCATCTAAAAAAGGTGGGAGGTCTAAACAACTTCATTAAGCACTTAGCATTTAGTATAGTGAAGCAATGAAAGCATGAGTTCGACACATCATTAAGGTTCATGGCATATACAAAAGTATACATAAAGCATAAACCCAAGATGGAATATATACTCAATTAAGCAAAAGTATACAAAAGTATACATAATAGTTCGTAACAAAAATAAAAATGAAGCAAGGATTAGAGTAAGCCAAAAGGCAAAAACCTTTGTAGAGGCAAAGCTAGGAAGTTAAGTGTGCTTCAATCCTAAAATATATTTTTCCCATTTGATGTATTCAATAAAGAGGGAAAAATTTTCAAAGTTATGAAAGCTCATAAGAATGGAATATAATGACCAAAAAGTCATTTTAAGGCATGTTTTGACAATATACAAGATAAGTCAATTAAGCTAAGCAAATCATGCAATATTCCTTCACAAGGGATTACTAATAATCTCCCCCTACAACATGCTTCCATTTACATCATATATTATTCAATGATTATTCAACTAATGGAACAATAACGCAATGATAGGTAAAGTATGCTTAAGATATATCATAAAGCAAGTTATACTTAAAAACCCTTAATTCATTAATGGAAATGATAAGATGTATTATTTGAAAATCATGGGTTTCCCAAAAGTATATAAGCCAATAAAGAGATGTAATTATAACACATAGGAGCAAGTATGGCTAAAATCATCAAAAATGAGGTCTTGACACCAAAATAACTTCTTTAAGAGATGTGGTGAGAGATTGGCAATATGAATTTTCATGTGGATGAGCTAACTATCTCTTCTAGATGCATTCTTTAAGAAGTGATGCAAAAACATTACATGAAGTTCTAAAGTGCCAAAAAATGGATATATCAAAATAGTATAGCACTTGTGATATCACATTAGTCATCTAAGCTAGAATATAGTATCCTTTGAATGTCATATTCCCAAGACTAAAGAGTCAAATAGATATATGAAATTTAAGTTCATGACATTTGAGGAGTTTAAACTCTAGAAGAAATCATGTTTACTCATTATGCTAATTTCAATTTATTTTGCATGTTAGAGGTAAGCTTCTTTACACAAATCATAAATGTTGATCCAATGATAGTATATATGATCAATCAACATATTTTCATGA